CTCAAATGGCCCGGCCAAGGTATCTGCGGTCTATTTAGCAGAGAGCCCGAACGCAACGAGCCAAACGTGCTTACCTGAATATTTGGTGAAGACAACGGGGAAGGTCGGGATTGGAAACTGAGCTCATGCGTCAAATTGGCCCACCAGGGAAATGCTCAATGTTCTCTTGCCCACTTACGTTCGCTTCTTCAGCATGCTTCCTGTAATTCAGTCCTATGCCGATAGTGAGCGGCACTTTCTCCAGAGGGCTCAAGACCTGGAATGTGTGAGCAAGAAATACAAGAACGTGGCACACATTCCCCACCTCAGAAATGACGGCTTTCTTGTCCAGGAGTTTGAAATTGCTGTCAAAGGGATCCAGGCCCGAAAAGATCTGGACTTCCCTCCCCTTGAGATCGGAATCCCAGTCTGAACCGGCCTCGCCGTAATAAATTTGACCGTCCGCGGCCTTGAACCTGACAAGCCTTTCGAATTTCGCGGCCATGGTGGCGATAGATCTTTCCGCTGGGTTGTATCGTATGCTGTCTGTTGTTCAAGAAGCCAGTCCGGATACAGCACTATCCTGTCACAGTTATATAGAGAAATGATCCATCAACTCAAGCTGACAAATGGTCCCTCGGGCCGAAAGGCGACTTGTATAAGTATCCCATGGTATTCGCGGCGTCCGTCATTCCCCAGAGAAACCTCACCATCTGTCGTGCTTGTCCCCGCTTCTCGGAGTTCGGAGTCTTCACTCCGCCCGCAATCGAGGGACATGGGACTTCACCTGGTGCAGGGAACCAGCCTTGGAATGGATCTCCGGAGGCGATTGGATGATTGGAAGCCATGTGCCTCTCTGTGTTGATGCTGGTTCTGTATGCATGAACGACGATGAGGATTGAAGGACAACAACAGATTGAATAAAGTGACAAGAGCCCCCAAGGGCATTGACGTCATTCGTGAAATGGATTGATATGGACATGTCCGACTCAAAATTTTGCCTCGACTTGGTTGTCGTGAAACCGTGCAACTCTCTACGAAACCAAGTGTGATTTGATGCTGCTACATTCACGGAGTTGCTTGACCAGTTTCAACATCTTGTCTTCTCGTTATAGTTTCAGGGCCTGGAAGTTCACGAGGCAGATCCACATATCAACAATGTCTGCCGAAAAGAATCATTTTGGAAGTTCGCCGGACTTCATATCGAAGCACCGCGTATGTCTCTGCTACAAGTTCTTGCTCAAGCATATATCGCTCATCAAACATTGAACATCGTGTTTCTCGGACAACCTTGTGCTTCTAACAACAATCTCCCCTCGATAGTCTCAATATCCCTCCTCTCGCACCATCTTCGTGACCGGAGCGACGGCCGGGATCGGGTTCGCCATCGCCAAGCACCTCCTGTCCTCCCGCGATCAGCACCTCCTCATCCTGTCTGGGCGCAAGGCTGATGTGCTCAGCAAGTTCCAGTCTGACAACCCAGACCGGGTCATCACCAGGGCGGGAGACATGGCTGGCCCTGAATTCGTCCAGGGGATGCTGCGAGACGTGCAGTTTGACGGCCGACTCGACGGGCTGATTCTGAACCACGGTACCTTGGGGAAGTGCTTGCGGATAGGGCAGATGGATAGCGACGAGTGGGAACGCACGTTCAGGATCAATGTGACGAGTTGCGTTGTCTTGGTAAGATCAGTCTAAGAGGCTTCCTACTTTCACCCACCATCGACTACTGTTTTCACGAGTCTAACTCTTGATCACAACATCCCATCAGATCCAACAAACACTCCCGCTCCTCCGCAGCGCAAAGGGCCGCATAGTCTTCACATCCTCGGGCGCCGCCATGAACGCGTATCCCTCGTGGGGAGTCTACGGCGCCACGAAAGCAGCCATCAACCACCTGGCCATGACGTTGAAGGCTGAAGAGCCTGATGTAACCACCATATCAATTCGACCCGGGGTCGTTGACACGGCCATGCAGACGGACATCAGGGAGAAGTTCATTCGCAACATGGACGACAAGGACCAACAGAAGTTCTTGAGCGCGAAAAGGGACGGGAAACTCTTGCCGCCGGAGAAACCAGGAAATGTGATTGCGGAATTAGCCGTGAAGGCGAGACCCGAGTTATCTGGATTGTTTCTAAGGTAAGTTTCTATGAACCTAATATTGCATATGAAATCTTCATTGACATATCTCAAGTTGGGATGATCCCCAACTCGGCGAGTACCAGGTTGAGTAGTGCACGGATTCGATCGAGATCGACGAGGTGTCGGGGCCTCATGAGCCGACCGTGCTGCTCCCGATCGAAAGTGATTTGTACAAATGATCCAGAAATTCATACTTGACGAAGATTCAATAGAACAATTGGAGTAGTACTCGTAGCGTCTGCTCTCCCCTTGTTAGCAGATATCGAGAAGAAGATAGAGCAGACATAGAGGGAAAAGTTTGAGGATCAGGCGAAAGATGAAAAATGAATACACAAGCTTAAGCATTAGAATCCAGCGGACCTTCATACTTAGCATGGAAGAGTGGTGAGTTCATCACGAAGAACTTGGTTGGAATAACTGGTGGGACTTACAATCACGAAGAAGTAACAGTCTTGTGACAATAATGCGCTTAAGCTTCTAAGTCCACAGTTAGGCAATGTCCCCGGAACCAAACAAGGTCAAATGATGTGATGTAGGGTGAGTCTCGTTCAGGTAATCGAACCAGTGTATTCGTCAATTGTATTTCCGAATTTGATAGTACATAGTGTTGATCATCATTGAAAATTGGGTAGGGAATTGATAGAGACGGAGCCAACATACACCACATCAGCTTCCCCGCTGGCAAGGACAAGAGGTCTATTATTAGTCTGTAATACGTCAGTAACCACGTACAGTCAACAGTAGTCAGCAGTTTAAAGGGAGATGAGAAATGTTCAGAAGGTCCTGTTTGGGTTTGGACGGGTAATCACCATCATTTGGTAAGATAGGGGCGACACGAATGTTCATCATATTGGAGATGTGTGAGGGAAGACGAGGACAAGAGCCACTTACCAGGCATGGACCAGCATGTTGAATCAGTATCAGGGGGACCTCCTCTGTACATCACGTCTATCAGTCACTACACCGATCTACAACGAGCTGTAGTAGGTTCAAAGTCTCGTCGCTCCATGGAGGGCAGATTCATTCGTCGATATTGATAGCAAACATGCGGATGAACCGTCACCATAAGCATCATCATTGATGTAGATGGTTGTTTGTCGCTGTGATGAAGAAGAATCAAAAGTGAAAACAAAACGCAACTTCGGAGAAAAGAAATTGACTCTGTGCCAAGACATTATTTACGCGTTTCCTGTTTCGGAAGGCCGGCCGGGCCCTGGTCGCGCATCATGTCGCAACTTCTATTTAACACCCTCATCCCTCCCCCTCGTCCTCACCTGGGCTGGGCCCGTGAGACTTCAAAAGACCCTAGACGCATACACCTCCTACGCTAAAAGTAGATACAATCTCCGTCATCATGTCGGACAAAGAATTTGGCAGTATGTTGCGACCCCAAAAGACCCAAGAAACCTGTTGGCGCAATTACTGACCTGTTGACAGACAACGACGACCTGTCTCTTCCCAAGGCTACCGTTCAAAAGATCATCTCTGAAATCCTACCACAACTCCCTCATGACGATACCAACGGCGGTAAGGAAGGTGAGATGACTTTCACGCGCCCGGCCCGCGACCTCCTCATTTCCTGTTCACTCGAGTTCCTACGCATGCTCTCCTCCGAATCAAACGAAATCTCTGAGCGCGAGTCCAAAAAAACCATCAGCGTCGAACATGTTGAACAAGCGCTCACCGACCTCGGATTTGGAAGTTACATCGAAGGCTGCCGCGGGGTTGTGGGCGAATGGCAAGAGGTGCAGAAGAAGAGAATCGGAAGAGGCGAGAAAATGCGCAACTTCGGCGGGTTCGATAAAATGGGAGAGGAGGAACTAAGGAAGATGCAGGAAGCGCTACTGGGAGAGGCTAGGGGCAGGATGGAGGGTGGTGGCGCCGGACCGAACGACATGTGACAAGGGCACAGAATAACGCCCTGAAGATTGCCATACATGGCAGGCGGGAAACGGTACGATGATCTCGCCAGAAGGCTCACAGAGACGGCCATTCTGACAGGACGGTTGATTTTGCCATTACCTTCATGAAACCAGCAATTTTCTCCGACACAACACCTGGCTGAAGAAAGCTACAACATGCCTGGATAAGCAATCTCCGCAACTCATCAGATACCGACATTGCATCGCTCGAGCAAGAAACACTACATCATTTGTATGAACATCTGTACCATCGAATTATTCTGGACACTGGTGAACCCCGACACAGAAATTGCGTACCAGGCAAACCTACGCAAAGGTCATCACACCAGACCTTTACACCCGCATCTCAAAAGATCTTGATACACAACGAGAAAACGTCTGGTCAAGCCCCCCTACTTGAGGGCAGAATTGCAGCAACCAGCTATTCGTTTCTTCGATCAATGATGAGCACGCACGTCTTTGTCACTCAGCGTCCTAGCCTCTCCCGCGCCCGGACGACTCGGCGATCTACCCGAAGGGGGCCGCTTGGGGACATGAGAGCAGGATCCACGACCACGAGTTCTCGTATGACGGACAATCGGGGAATCCTGGTCACGAACCTCTAGATACAGACGCGTGAATGTACTTCTGAGTATTGGAGCCTGATGAATATGGAATTGAATCATTCTACGGGAAATGGAACGACATCGTGGTGGACGAACGAAGTAAACGTGAGCAATGATGGGACTGACAAACTAGCCGACAGGGCATTATTGGTGGAATGGCAAGATAATGAACCACGTAAACTTCCACAATAAGAGAGCAAGCAATACTTGATCAAAAGTGACTTTTGTCCTGCCTATCGGGGGTTTCATTCTTATTAAGCACAGTTGTTTCATCTCTCCCGCCTTCTACTGCGAGTGTGTCTCTCTCCGTTTCACTTCTCTCGATCAGGGATGATACACGCACTCTTCTTCACCTCGCGGGCCTCTTCCGCGCATCCACATTCATATATCTCGCGACGTGGCCCAGCTTCCTCAACAAGTCTGCGTCCAGACGACCGAAATCGTCTCTGGCCTTGAGATTGCCGCCCAAATCTCTCCGAATTGGTCCTCCCGCGGCGCTGGCGTTGGGACTCTGGAGACCCTCGACGAGGATGCTCCATTCGGCGACCGTCGCGCCGTCGCCGGTCATGTTGGTCGCGCTGACGCTGGAGTTGTACAGCGAGCCCCAGATGCGCAGGGTGGCAAAGCGCGCGGTGAACACGGGGGCAGCGGTCGCGGGGATGTCAAATGTGGTGATATTGTCCTGCACGGCCTCGATCGAGTTCAGCGCCGTCACGTTGTAAGGGTCGGAGATGCGCACTCGCTCGTTTGTCGCGACTTCGAGGACGTTGCTCGAGTTGATGGTCGCGGCTGAGGGGTTCGTAAGGGACTGGTTGTGGAACAACACCGAGTAATTATACGGTGGGATCTGGCCCCAGTTCAACACCATTCCTGTCACCTGGAATCCCTCCGGGATGGCCACTGTGATGGAGCTGGTCTTGTTGGCGAACACGGGCTGCCATTTTGTACTCGTCGCGCCGTCGACTGCCGCAAGCGGGAACTGGCCTGGCAGGTAGTCGTCCGGGGAGGAGACGGGGAGGCACTGGGCGACATTGTTCTCGGTCGTGGGGATGAGGCCGATCTGTCTGTTGGGGACTGTGATGCTGGAATTTGGTGCCAGGGAGTAGGTGGCAAGGGGTGCTGAGCCGATAGGGCCAACCACGACGGGAATGGCAGCGGTCGCATAGGTGGCGTTCGGAACAGTGCCCTCACCAGGGGCGAGGCTCCCGTCTCGCGTCAAGGTGGTATGGGTCTGATTAGAAAATGCCGAGATCGGCCAGCCATACCAGTGGAAGGTGCGGTATCTGATCTGCGGGATCTGAGGCGGTAGACTGGGGTCAATGTGCAGGTTGAAATCGGGAACAAAGCGAAATCCTAGATATCCGAACAAGACGACTTGCAGTGCTCCTCCGTGGCCTGTGAGGAACGGATATGCAGGGTGCGTTCCGCCATTCTCGTTCCAGTTGTCGACCAATTGTTCGGAGAGCTGGAACCACGGGCCCCTCAGGTAGGGATGCGAGCTGTATTGCTGATAGGTATAAGAAGAACACCCAGAAGGAGATATCTGGTTTGCGATGATAGAGAAGATCGCATATGTCATGGCGGGGCCGTCCACGGACTGCAGCGCGGCATAATAGTCGAGATCATTGAGCGAGTCCTCAGAGGTGTAATTCTGCCCGGTGAAGGACAGCGGATAAGTATTGAGAATGACATCAGCCTGTTTTACCACCGTCGTGCCGTTCATGCCAGTGTATTCTAGTGTGACATCCGCATCTTGATCACGACCTATCAGCACGTTTTGAGCCATCGTGGTCCAAGTTTCGTTGGGTGTGGAATTGAACATGGAGCGAAATTGATTGGCATAGTTGAGATGTGTAGAGATCAAAGCCATGGTGAAACCTCCATTGTCGACGTGGTTGGCGTACTCGTCAGGGTCAGTCATATTCAGGAGAGACCAGTGAGAACCGTTGCGCTCAAGGATTTCCGAGTACATTGTGGCAACAGAGTCGTAGATCGGCCAGAGAGACTCCTCAAACATTGCCGTGTCACCAGATGAGATCCACAGATTGATGAATTCTAAGCCAATGTCGCCGTTCAGATGATACTCGTAGTCCCAGCAAGGTCCTGTAGCTGTACAGTTGCCAAAACGTCCACTGGTCCAGGGGAATATTGCTGAGTTGGAGCTGAATTTGGTGTCGTTCTTGGACGAGGCGAATGCGGTGCCAATATTTCGCTTCGCCTGCTGGTACCTCTCCACGCGGTAGTTCGCGATACCCTTTGCCGCCGATGGGAAGGCTGCTACCAGTCCAGGTTGCATCCATATCTCAGCGTCCCAGAAGATCTGCCCAGCATATGAATCTGAGCCCAAACCACCTACTGCGATGCTGTGGCTATTGAACGAACTAGTCGCATTGGCCGTCGCGGTGATCGAATTTTGTGAAATAGTGTTCTGAAGAAGATGGTAGGGATTTGTCACTGCTGTAATTGCTGCCTCGAGGATAAACTCGTCGTCTGGCAGTGTGCCGTTCTCTGGAAAGGAGAAATCGTCGACGGACGAGACAGGGAACTGTTCTGCCCATTCCGCAGCGTGAGTCTGCAATGAGGCAGCGTACCCAGCCTCTCTTGCGGCAAGTGCGGCATTTCTTGCAACAGGACGAGGGGTCAAAAACCCATCAGTCGAGGCGATTCCGACAAATTTGGTGAACGTGGCAACCTGTCCAGCTTGAAGGGTGACATTCAACGCAGATGCCACAGAGGATTCATTGTTGCCGACGTACGGCCGCTGCCATGTGGCTTGCTGAACCGAGCGTATTGTAGCGCCAGTGCTGGTCATACCAGCATATACAAATGCTGTCACGTTATGAATACCGTTCGGCTGGACAGAGGTGAAAATGAGCCCAGAATCAATGCCGTTCTGTCCAGGGGTTGTACGGACAGCACAGTCCCCGTTGAGCACATTTGCTATTGTTATGTTGGTGGCATTGGTTGCAGTAATGTTCATTATAACAAAGCCCTGATTGAGATTGAGCTTGTGTGCGAACATTTGGTAGGAGACGTTGAACGACCCATGACCATTTGGAGACCATGTAAAAGCCCAGTTCATCAGACCACGCTTCATGTCGAGGCTAGATCTGAAATTGCTGATGGTCGAATCATCAGTCGAAGCAGCCAAGTAATGGTTGCCTCCCAAATCTGCCACAATGCCGCTCCAGTGGGGGATGCCACTGATGGCCGTATCCCAGCCATACTGATACAGCCAGGGGAAGTTGGAGCCATTGGTTGTAGGTTGGGAGTCCCAGAAACCCCCAACTGTGGCAAAGGTTTGTCGTCGACCAAACAGGGGCCAGCCGTTGATATTATCACCGTCAACGGGAGTGTCAATTTCGAAGAATGGACCTAGAGCTGCCACGTTGATCCCATGATAGCCGTTTGCAACAACCATCCGAGATTGATAATGTCCTTGATCAAGCTCGGTCGTCGTGAGCACCCAGTTCGCAGCATCCCAGGTAACACCCTCAAATCGAGTCTTGTATATGGTTGATGCATTGCCAGATTGAGCAGATGCGAAGGAGGACAAGCATATAGTGAGAAGCAGGCCAAAGAGCCTTGTGAGGCTTGACCCAGCCATCTGATGGAGTCAGTTTGATCCGACTTTTCTCTCGACGGTTTTCTCGCCTACCCTAGGCGGTCTGGTAGTTATTTGTTGTGTTTGTCCAAGAGAAAATCGACAATGGGCTTGCTATGATGCTGATTGAAGCTACAACGAAGGGAAGATTGATGACAGGAACCATCCAGGTTTTGAGCTCTGGCCACTATTTACCTCATGAATGAAGGAGAAGCGTACCGACCATGTGACAGAGAGAGGAGCTTGACTGGTAGGTACGGGAAGTTCCTGCTGTATAAGTGACTTGTCCAAGTCTACATCAAATCCAGGCAATGAGCGGAAGACCGACAGAACGCCCTTCTTGCAGACAGTTACATTTGACCAAGCAATACCATACTTGATTTGCTCGTCCTTGTGGTCACATCGACCAGGATCATCGGTGACTGTCTCCATCATAGGACGATTGTCGAGCGGTTCAATGGATCCAATACGACGTCATTTGTGGGATGAACGTAAAAGGATGCGGAGGTACTACGACCTCGCCGTAAAGGATTGTCTAACTTGGAAAGCTCCTAGACCTGCTAGATTGGGTTTCGTGGCAGGTCGCTTTCTTTGTGTGGGGAAGTGGCAAGTGGCGGAATCTTGTGCCTGGGGAAGCATCATTGGAGAGCTCGGCGCCTTTCCTGGCCTCTGCAATGGAGCGCCACCGTTGTCATGGCCTCTAGGTGTCACCCACTTCCAAGCTTGGGGCACGTCGTCGCCGCGTGCCTGGTGGAGTAACGGCATGCAAATTTGCCTGCGATGAGTCGATCCGGGCTTGGACCTGCTTGGAGTGTCAAGGATTTGCTGCCAGAGGTCATTACCCGGATACGGTGCCCGAGATATGTCTGTGGAGATCGAGTGCCAACTCTGTGCATCTGAAGGATTTTCCCGTAATCGCAAGGTTGCAAACGAAGTACACTTCGACGTATAGCCTGTCATCCTTCTACTTCCTCAGCCTCAGTGTTGCTGCGTCTGGGTCTGTTGTATGCACCACTCCTTCTCTTTCCAGTTTGATAGCTTTCCGAGGTGGTGATGGCCTTTTCTCCCACAAAATGTTCGCCGTCCCACTCGGTCCTGCATAATGGACATCTCGAGGATCGGTGTATTCGAAAGAAATTCTGGGTACATATATCATGTATTCGGCAAGGGCATTCACGTTGAGGACACCGTTGGCCCTGGGCAGTTGAGAAATGTGTCAGCTCTCGTGAATAGGCGGAAATTGAAAAGAACGCGCGGTATCATATCTTACCACCGTGATGATCTCCTTGCAAGCATGGCAGAACTTGATCTTCTCTTTCTTATTGCCGTCCTCGTCTTCGTCGTTGTATGTGTCCACCAGCCAGCCCTTGAGTTCCATCAAGGCACGAGGACTCAAGCTGTAAAACCCAGCCCGGCTCTTTTCTAGCCACCCTTCGCTCTGCATTCGGTGCAGCATATTCTCAGCATCCTTAGCACCGAGCATGCCAGCAGATGACTGTGCCCCGTTTTCATTCTCTTCAGACGCCTGGCGGCGGAGAGGGGTGCGCCCAACCTGAATCGCATCGATGCCACTTATACACATGGCTTCTCTTTTGCCCCTGTTGTTCTGTCCATCAAACATTGCATCGAGTAGCTTTTTCACGTAGACAATTTCGTCGGCTGTGTATGTCGTGGCGAGCTGAGTGAGAGGATCGCTCGTAGCGTTCACCAGCGCATACACTCTTTCGCGGGTCTGCTGGTGGAAGGTACTTCTGATCTCGAGGTCAAGAGGGGATAGTCTGCGATTTGCTTCTGCGATGTAGTCGTTCAAGTCTTCGACCGTGACATCTTGAGGCAGGACTTCGCGTTTCTCTTGAAATGACGAGCATGCTGCAATGATGGGTTTGGCCGTCTCAAGGGTTAGGACGCTGCGGGCAAGAAATGCCTGTAGGAATGCTTTATTGGCATCGCTGTAGCCAGCATTGCCTCCGAGGCTCTCCATTTGAGGGACAGCAGTCTCCAAGGATCGTGACAAGGTGTTCGGATTGTGGTGAGGATACGAATCGTGAGTCTTAGGTGGGGGAATTTACCACTTTACGCGTGTTCTGACCGGACGCGTCGTGCGCCGAGCCATCACCGACTGCCTCTAGAACTCCTACCATCGACTACGCAGCTCTCATTCCCATCCACAGTGGCGTCGTTCCGCAATAACCACGGAGTGCTGCACAAGCATGCTGGGTATTTTAATGATCATTCGAGATATGCATGCTCATGGTCTATTATCTATCAAAGCCCAACCACCCTCAGAAGGGCGGAATCGCTGAAGAATGGAGTGTGTATATACAGTATATCCCGCCTCGGTCAATTCATCTCATTCCCCGGCTTCCTCGAGGCAATGACCTCCTCCGTAGTCTTCGTAATGATCCCAAACGCCGCCCTCACATACTTCTCTTCTCCATGCGGATTGCCACTGACGACGCGCATGAAGGATTTGCCCGCGGTGCTGCTGCAGGTGATAAAAATCTGGCCACGCTCGTTGATCAGATCTCCAATGTGCCTCGTCACCTCATTCGCATCCTGTTCTTTTTGTTGGTTCGCTGCCGTCTGTGGCAGAAAATCGGCATTCGTCTCCGCCGTATTCGCCTGCTCTGCCAGGGCAGAGGGTTTGACTCGAAAACAGACCAAACCAAATCTCGGCTCAGCGACCAGCTCGAACAGGTCACTCCTCCCTCGGACAAGGTCAGCAAAGACCTCACCTCTCTCTACCGACTTTCTGATATGCTCCCTCATCCCTTCTAGGCCATAACTCCGCATAACAAACCAGATCTTCAGAGCTCGAAATCTTCTCCCCAGTGGGATTTGCCAGTCTCGATAGTCCGTGACCAGACCACTATCCGAGTGTTTGTTCGTATAATAGGCGGCAGATATGGACAATGCACGCGTCAAATGGTTCCTGTTCTGAACAAACAGACAGGAGGCGTCAAAGTTGACTAGGAGCCATTTGTGCATGTTCATGTTGAACGAGTCGGCGATGATCATTTGTGGAGAGTACTTGGAGGAGAATTCGGGTCGGATCAAGGCCGCTCCAGCGTAGGCCGCATCAATGTGAACCCAGATGCCTGGGTTGGCTTTCAGGACTGGCGCGAGACCCGCAAAGTCGTCAACTGCACATGTCGAGGTTGTGCCCAGCGTCAGGGTGATGTAGTAGGGTTCGAGACCTTCAGCCTTGCATTGCTCCAGGACAGCTTCCAGCTCTTCCCTCTGCAATGACAACTCATTCTCAAGCTTAGTCGGGATAGACTTGTACCGCGTTCCGGCGATCAAAGCACCCTTTTGCGTCGAAGAATGGGCTTGATCACTCGACAAGGCCACCAGCCGACCTCTCAAGAAGGCAATGCGGTCTTCTCTCTCTGGCGACCCAGGTTTCAGGCCTTCTGCGTCACACTTGTTATGCAAATACCTCTCCCTCGCAGCGACCATGCAGGTCACTATCGCCTCACTAGCACTGCCTTGAATAGTGCCTCCGCCGCCGCTGGCACCCGTGCTGAGAAATTCCTCGGGCAGTTGAAGAGCCCGAGCCAACCAGTCCATCACCACGGTTTCCAGCTCCGTGCACGCAGGGCTGCACAACCAATTGAACGCCGGCGCCGTGAATGCGGCAGAGTACATCTCCCCGAGCATGGACGGGTAGGTGACACCAGCCGGGAAGAAGGCCATGAAGTTGGGTGATTGCCAGTGAGTGACACCGGGCACAATTTTCGACGCAATATCTGACTGGATTTCGGACCATGACTCTGGCTTTTCTGGTGCTGACGATGGCAGCTGTGGTGCGAGGTATCCTGGCTTGATCGTCGGCAGCACAGGGTAGTTGGGAAGCTCTTGATTGTAGGCAATGACTAGAGGAGGGAGCACGGTGTTAGTCGTGGATTTCTTTTCTTTTCTTTTCGTTCAGGGCAGAAGAATAGTCTCGTGGGAAATCCTCTGGATTGGAAACATACTCTCTTCAATAGCTGCGTGGGCAGCTTTCCAGAATTGATCAGCGTCCATGTCTAAACTCTTGGAGAAACAAAACCCTCTTGATGGTGGTATCCTCGAAAGATTCAATGTCCTTGATGCTGGGCTGGTCTGCAATCTCGGGGCTTTCCTCGAGAAGATCCTGTACATATATATGTTTTTGCCTTATTTCCTCATTACCGACAGATCCGGAAACGAATTATACAAGGATGACTCAGGTGGCTTAAACGGACGGCGTTGGAAAATAACAGAACACCCCCAAGACCCGATGCACAGCGTTATCATAAGTCCGCGCTATGTGTCGATAGACTTTGTAGTCATGTCAGACTCGTAGCACTCGTTGATGCTACCAGAGGTGCCAAGGCACGTCAGAAATTCCGTCGTTCACTTTGATAGGGAAACTTTGCCGTTCAGACCATTGAGTGGTCGCGGAATTCTGCCTTCCAGGCAACGTCCCTAGGAGGTATTGAGGTACCGATTAGGCAGGTTATTGCGGGGAGATTTCCCGCCGAGTTCCGAGTTTGGCGGTCAATGCGGCCGCTTTTGGGGCCATTGAGAGTTCTTCCCTCCCTACTCGGTACAAAAATCATTGCTCTACAATTAGCTACTTGGCGGGCCATGTACTTGGTTCCTCCTACAAGCCACATGACTAGATTGGTAAGGATGGTTAGCAGGTATGTTATTCGATAATCGAGGCCACGGTGCATTTGGCTATTACTTCATCATTTTTCTATCTCGATGCTATGTACTTTGGGAATTGACCCATGGGTTTTGTTGCGCATTGCGTGTCTTCGATGTGTTATTTCACACTCGAGATATCTTCTCTCTCCACTTCACCCGCACTCCTAAGTGCAGTGCAATTCACCTCCCTCATGAGTGTGGCATTCCTGTATCAAGTCAGTGCCTGCGATCTCGATAGTATCGTCCAACTTACAGCTGGAACGGAGGCCGTTGATGACGGAGCTTCTGGCACCGTTGGCGAGCTACTTGTTGCTGCTGGCGCTGGTGCTGCGGAAGTTGTGGTGGCCTCAGCAGCGCCAGACTCTTCCCCACCAAGACATCCAACGCCTGGAATGGCAATATCATATGCGTACGCCTCAAGTGCAAAGTACTGCAAGGTATCGCTGTCATGCGTGGATTCGGTGGTGTTACCAGCAGCAAGCTCGACGACTTCCTCGTAGTCGTCGGCGAAATGCTCGATATATCCCCAGCCAATGGCGGGCAAATGGTAAAGGCGATGCAGCAAATCGGAAGCCCAGAATGTGTTGGTGGGAGAGTCAGCGACAGTGTATCCAAGTGCGCACATCTGACTCAACCACCGGCGTGTCTGATAACTCAGGTCGCAGATGACGGTCTCGTCGGTGGCATTCTCTCCACGCCAGTGGCCAGCATATGCTAAGGATGTCTCAGTCAATGTCACATTCGAGACGACATGGTCAACTCACTGGGAATATCGCAGTTGCCATCGGGGTTATCACAGCGGAACAGGACACGTTTCTTGTCACCGTTGACGATAATCTCATAGGCACCGATGACTTCATGGGGAGGTCGGTCCCCGAAATAACGACGATAGATGTCAGAGGTGTTGCCGAACCGGAGGACATGCTCTTTGGCGTGCTCGACGAGCAAGATGGTTTCGTTCAAACCGGCTGCAATCTGATGTGCCTGAGTGACATTGCAGCTTTCGTGAATCTGGAACTGCGAGACAGCACCGGCATCCCAGGCCTCAACATTGGACGAGGGGGCCTCTTGACGTGCTACCAGCTGCGTAGGCGCCGCAAGGACGCCCGAGATTGCGGAAACGAACAGAGCTTTGAAAACGAGAGACATTTTTCTGGACTTGAAGCGGACCAGTCAGGAAGATGGAAGAGTTCTGAGTTTGCAGATGGCGATGTCTCCCAACTCAGTGACTGGATCTACAGCTCTATTATATACCCGGCTTTTACTCTCTCATGTTCGGGACGTATGCAAGGTACGTAACCTGATCCGTCGACTGTCGGCTATCACCCAACCTCCACCCATGATCGATGGCCGCATGACTTCGACGAAAAATTTTCTGCTCAGTTCCTCGATCGGCTGGTATGATGGAAGCAAAGGTGGGAGTATTCGTTTGTACCAAAGCGTACCACGAGGCTATCACAAGCGAGGACCACCATGAGATGACGGTATGAAGGGTCCTAGCGGCATCGGCGATCCAATCATGACATGGCATTTGAGGTCATAATACCGATTACAGCTCTTCCATGGCGAGGAGAAGGCCTTGGTGGAGTGGCACGTGTGTGGTTACCATCGACACAAGCTCCCCATTGCAGCGCTCAGGTCCGAGTCTAGGGCAGTATGCTTCCTTGTGCCAAGACATTTCCGCTCCGCTGCGGAAACGCCCAGACAAAAATGAGTACCTTAAACCCAGAGCCTTGGCCAACTACATCTACTACGCCTACCACTCAGCTTCCTACTATTTGGACTTGCCTATGCTCATGAATTTAAACTTCCCAAAATTGAGGACCTTATGTCTTGGACAGTCGTCCGTTCCCGCCAACGACTTGGCATCTGCCATGTTTCCACTGAGCCTTCCACTCCGAGCTTTGGCCCGCCTCCTCCCAATGCGATATTAGCCTTGCCAAGTGGTCCTACGGGCCTACTGGGAGAGCAATATGCGAGAATGTCGAGTTTTAGTTTGTCAAAGGATGGGGTCAACGTTGAAAATTCTTCCTTTCCAAAGCCGTCACGGCTCTCGTCAATCGTGCCGACGAAATAACAGAGACAACGTTGAAGGGTAGCATAAATGGCTCCTTCCACTTTCAGTACAAGACCAAGGTGCCCAGGCAAGATACTTCCCTCGCATCTTGTTGACTTGGACAGTCTTTGTATCTCGAGTGCTCGTTTTTAAGCATTGGACATTGTGTTTCGTTTTCATCGGCCGTCACATTACTACTATAGTGTCTATTTTATATTCCAAGGGTTCTCCATCATGCTGGCAGCTATTTTATTAGTGGTGGCATTCAAAAGTGCAGTTTATGCTCAAACATACACTGGTTGCCACAATCATTCCTCCGTCGAGTACGACATTCTGGTATACTCGCACTACCTTCGCTGACAAGGAGTTGCAGGTACTGCTATGGCCCGGACGGTGAAGAGACTGCTCTGTACACCTATTCTTCCATCGCTCCTACGACATTGTCCACGGCAACTCTACCAGCGTCGGTGTCTGCTTCGGCCACAACTACCGGTCAAACTACCGCTGTGACAGGGTGTCATGCACATGGTGCTGATATGTAAGATTTTACAGAGGCGAATGGATATACAGAAGCTGACAGACTATCAGCTTCTGCATCGATGGTGCTGGAGAAGAAGTCATGATCTCAACGACCGCAACCGCAACTGGAGAACCGCCCGCACAATACACCGGATGCCATTCTCATGGAGATGAACAGTGAGCACTGAGCGCTTGCATGGAGAAAGATATCTGAGCTAATGAAACAAGGTACTGCTTAGCCCCAGATGGCTCAGAAGTATTGGTCCTCGCCGAAGGAGCTACTGTCTCGGAAGACCATGATGAACACGAGGAACATGAAGATCATGAGGAGCATTCTGAGGATGAGGAGGAGCTTGATTGCCATTTTCACGCTGGGGTAGAGTAAGATACCCTTGTCTATAAAACGCGTCAAGTGCTTAATGATGTCTAGGCATTGTGTTCCCGTTGGTGGGAGCGAAAGCGTCAGTGAAGAGCTGAACTGCGGCTTGACACAGCGAGACTACGACATCCCGCTCAGAATTGGTACACTTTTCGTTGTCTTGGTCACCAGTGCAATCGGCGTCTACGCACCATTATTGCTCACCAAGCTCCCCTTCAAAACTGTAAATGCTATCGGATTCACCGTTGTCAAGCAATTCGGCACCGGGGTTATTCTATCGACTGCTTTCGTCCATCTCTACACTCACGCATCATTGATGTTTAACAATGAATGTCTTGGTGTACTCGAGTACGAAGCTACAACATCTGCGATTGTCATGGCTGGAATTATCCTTGCTTTCCTTGTCGAGTATATCGGCCACCGCATCGTTCTCGCGCGAGGAGCCTCTCCTCAACAGCAGAGGGGCGCAGGCCCCGAAGAGACGGCCACCATTTCAGCATTCGCGAAGGAAGGAGAATCTACGCCTGTCTCGAAAAGCTTGACTGATCCTCATGCGTCAGCATATAACTCCAACAACCTCGCAAACCTTGGCCATAATCATGGCAACCCTCTCGACCCAGCCAATCCCAACTCGAAGCTGTCGGTCATGGTAATGGAAGCAGGTATCCTGTTTCACAGCATTCTCATCGGCCTGACGCTGGTAGTGGCGGGTGATTCATTCTACAAAACACTGTTGGTCGTGATTGTATTTCACCAATTCTTTGAAGGACTCGCACTTGGTGCACGGATCGCTCTGCTACCCTCGAATTTCACCCGCTTTTGGCCCACCAAATTCTTCATGGCGTTCGCATACACCCTGATCACACCCATCGGCATGGCAATTGGCTTGGGAGTTATCCACAATTTCAACGGGAACGAGAAGAATACCATTGTGGCGATTGGTACGCTAGACTCCCTGAGCGCCGGCATTCTGGCCTGGGTCGCGCTGGTCGATATGTTGGCACGAGATTGGATCCTGGATGGTGGCGAGATGCTGCACACGACGACGGCAAAGACCCTTCTCGGTGGATCCAGTCTGTTCGCCGGTATGATTTTGATGAGTTTGCTGGGGAAGTGGGCTTGAAGGAGAAAGGGCAGTCGCCGGGATTGCATTAAGGGGGGGAATCGGGACAATATAGACTTGTTGCTATATCCACTTTCGCGAGGTTATATAGATGGTGGTGTAGGAATAGCTGCGACAGACACCTACACAACAAGTATTGGGATTGACACACGTGCAGATTCGCAAGGCTCAACTGTTGAAGAATCATCGGGTGTCTTCGCTGTACCGGGAGCTGTTGCAGTCTCAAAAGCAGCGCAAGGCTTCGCCAAGCGTTGAATAGACCCGAAACGGGCAGAACTACCCTTTCTGGCTCTGGTGCTAGTAGGCGGAATCCCTGCGCACACAAGGTCGATTTATTGGGCGGAAATGTGGACGGTACCTACAAGGTTACTAGTAGGATTAGGGGTGACTTTACTCATACTTCCGCCTTTTTTTTGTACGATCATCTCTTGACAAGGGAAAGGCGCGTGCGTGCGTGCGTGTCATGGGCGACGGGCGATGGGTCTTATTTCCGCCATGAATTTGTCAATCCTATCCCCTTTGTTAATGCCCATCCTGGCGTTACTACCTACATAGCTATATAGCGCTTGTAATACTCGCCCCGGTTACTAAATCACTATGTACCTGATGTGTATAAGCTTACAGTGCACCTGGTGGGTGAGTATATGGACATGGATTATACATCTTCAGCTTCACCGTCAGAGACGTAGGTCGCTGGAGAGTGCAACCAAAGGACGATTACATAGCAGAAAACCCCCATATCACTAAGCAGAGGGCAGAGCATGTTCGCCCCGCTAAGTATCCCGAAGAAATGTCCTGTACAAGAAGCGAGCACATCAACCCGCTCACGTCTCTTCAAACACAAAAACGCCCTTACCCGGCCGGAAGCCCCCGAGGGTGCCTTGGACCGCTTGCTTCAAAAGGTCAAGTTCAGTGTTCCATCCCCATTTGCACTCCTGCACCGGTATATCTTTGAATCGCCCTTCTCTGGTGAGGCGAAGGACGTCGTCCACCGTCTGTTTCTTCTGGTCAGGGTGCCGGTCACTCCACTTGCTCACCCAGAACCCATTGAAGGAGATCTCCTTGAAGATCAGGAGCGATGCAGGTAACATGAGAGGTTGTTTGCTCATTGCTCCATATGTCACCATGGTCGCTCCGGGGCTGAGGAATTTGGCAAGGGCCGTGGCGGGCTTCCCACCCACGCAGTTGAGGCCAACTTTGATTTGCTCTCGTCCTCCATTTGTCCACTCTTTGATCTGGTCTCGGATCTCGCGACCTTGTAGTTCTTCCTCGGTGATGACTTTGGTGGCTCCAATATCAAGCAGCTCTTGGCGAAGTTTTTGTTCCTCCTCCTTATTCTCCCGACCCCGGATCACATTGATGCTCTTGAATCCCCACTCCCGCCCCAGCTGTATGGCGGCTCTTCCTACGCCGCTGTTGGCCCCGTTTTGGATGAACCACTCGTCTCCCCGGAAACTCCATTTTGCCGAGTCAAGGAGCATGCGGTATGCTGTGCAGGGGTTGACGGAGACTGTCCCGACCTGGAGTGGGGACAGTCCTTCCTTGTTGTCAATTTTGATCAATTTGCTCTCGTCTACTGCCATGTGTGTCCGCCAGGTGCCCATACTGGTAGTCTTCATGATAACCCAATCTCCTTTCTCGAGGGATTTCACCCCAGAACCGACACTGATGACCTCCGCCGCACCTTCATTCCCACCCACCGCCGAGGGTTCTGAGGTACCGAGAGCTGTTGTCATCTCTGGTTTCGCAGGATACACACCCTGGATCTGATTGACGTCGGCGGGGTTGATCGGAGCGACGAGCATTCGGAGGACGACGTTCGTCCCAGATGCGGGTGAAATGGAGTGACCATGTAGTGATAGGACATCTTGGGGCTCTCCATACTTGGAATATACAAGGGCTTTAGCTTGGGTGTAGCCGTAACTGCTAATCTTTCGTCTCCGGTTAGCGAGAGATCTGACGGGTTGTTGGCAGTTCCAACATATCGAACGGCGTGCTGAAAACAGGCTCCGTGAAGACTCTCCGAGGAGTTTTCGCGCATAGGAAGGAGATGCCATGGTGACTGTTACTGAGGACTCAGCGTGGAGGTGGACAAGAAGATTAAAGCGCAAGCAGGCGAGCATTGAAGCTGGAATTATATCATAGTCGTGGCGTTCCCCGCATTGACGGAAAATGCTCTCCAAGCCCAAGCGCAGCCTGCAACTGGCAACTGGGCAACTGGCACTGGCCCGCCAGGCTGACCTGAGGTGACAACACGTTTTCCGTTATTCTCGCTGTGACGCAGGCGGACATCAATTCATTATCCATGGTCGTCGCATACGTGTGCCCCGAACTCGGCGCATGATGCTGTTGTCAATAAGTCACGACCCTTCAATGGCACGCAGCTCCTCATAACTAGCCTTTTCTGTTACCTGGGATTCTCAGCTTCGATAATGAGGCGCGCCAGCATGTCGTGGCTCTGGAAGGTGAGCACGCGCCCACCCAAACACTTTGACAAGGACTAAGTTGCTATTACAAGGGAGATGCCAACTCCCCTGCATCGTTCGAGAAAGCCCTCTCCAAACTATCCTCACAAATCACCGCCGCGAACCTTGCCCTTGACACAAGTCGCAGTCGAGACCGCCGGATCAAGGCCCTGTGGACTCTTTATACCACCCTCACATACCTTCTCTACACTTTGATCATTGTTCTCGTCCTTGGACCACAGAACTGGTCGATCTATCACTATGCCGGTCTCGTCGGTTCTCCGATCCTCATATACGTGGTCCGCACATCCATCGCCGCCTTCTTTGGTTGGAGGATAAGCCGTCAGCAAGCATATTTGGAGCATTTACAGAAGCAGCGAGAGCAAAAGATTGCAGACCTGAAAAAAGCTACAAAGTACGACAGTACTCAGGAGCTATTGCAGAAATATGGAGGCGCTCCACCGACAAAGTCTCCCTCGAAACAGCCGCAATCAGGTCCGAAGAGAAAGGCGCCTCCTTCCACAGACCAGCGTCCTGTACAGAGGACTGGAATTGCACCTCCGCCAACCGCAAATATTCCAGGAAGACATAGCTCCATGCCATTCCCTCAGCAACCGAACGTACAGACTGGCTCTGCGCCTATGTCGCCAACTCATGGCCCATCACCACATGCGGGCCCTGTGGTGGCACATAGCCCAATGGAGATTACGCCAGACTCTCCCGGTTTCGCTCCAAATGCTTTCTCCAGCATGCCGCCTGCTTCTAGCACCACGTATGAGCAACCCCCTCACTGGTACGACCGCATACTGGATGTTCTTCTGGGTGAGGATGAAACCGCGGCCAAGAACAGATTGGTACTGCTGTGCGCCAGATGTCGCTTGGTCAATGGTCAAGCACCTCCTGGCGTGAGAACACTTGAAGAACTGGGTCGTTGGAGATGCAGTGGCTGTGGTGCTTGGAACGGAGCCGAAAGTGAAGGGGCGAAAGTTGTAAAAGAGGTGACCTCTGCTTCGAATGTAGACGACGGAGAGAGCTGGGAGAGCGTTCCACGAGCCGCGGACATTCGAGAAGAAAGCCCTGAAGATTCAAAGCCTCAAGAAATGGCTGATACCAGCTACGAAGGAACTACAGGACGAGACGGAGGAGATGATGCTGGCCTAACCAAGAGGATCACTCGTAGTGCAGGCAAGAGAGACTCCCTTGAGTCCTTGCAATGAATTGTATTTCCATCTCCACAACATCTCAAACGATCTGTAGATGCCTTCGATCACTCCATTGAACCGTACCGAGTAGACTTCAATGGTACCCAATTGGGGACCTCTCTGTTCATCTCACGTGACGCGACTCGCCAAGGCATAAAGAGTAAAATGCTCCATCATGGATTTTCTAGAATATTTTTTTCTTTGTCGCATCATACCTGGTAATACAACGATGTCGATAGGTACGGTCTCGGAAAGATGTCTAACTTCATTGTGCGTCCGGCCGGCGCGGACAAAGACCCTTTTAGAATCGGGCTGACGGCCGTGTCGATGCTCTCGTTGAAGCTCAAGTCCGGGGACATCTGTGAACTCCGAGGAGCGGACGGGGATAACACCAATGGCAAGAGAAAACTCGCCGTTGCGTGGCAGGGTCTGGGCCCGGGGATGAAGGACTCGATCGTCCAGACGTCGAGATTGCTCCAGGAAGCCTACGGGTTCAAGTTGGGCGATAAAGTCACCATCTCGCGCTGGCCACTTCCTCTGCCGAGTTCCCTCTCGGTGACGGTCCAGAAGGTGCCGGGAGGCCAGCCGGACGCTGACACCACTGACTCGAAGGCCTGGTCGAAACAGATCGCCTCGAATATCTCCCCTACGGGCGAATATATGGTCGTGTCCCAGCGACTACACTGTCTGCCGCCCAACAAGTCGGACAAGGCCGGAGCAGCCGAGTTTGTCGTCAAGGACGTGGGTGTGCCTGACTCCCTGTTTGCACGCGTGACAAGGGACACGACATTTCGCGTCGTCAGCTCAGAGACATCCGATCAGCCAGTGACTATCGTTTTCGAACCAAAGCACCTCGGCGGGTTACAATCACAGATTGCTCAAGTGCAGGACATCGTGAGCGATCTCTGCAATCCGGTTGCCAAACATCATTTTCAAGCGTACGAGCCCGTGCAGGGCCTTCTCTTATATGGGGCTAAAGGCACGGGCAAATCTGCCCTGATTACCGCTTTGGCTGATTGCGCGTGGCCTGCGGTCCGGTCCTGGACGCCAGGGACAGAGATCTACGCTTCACCAGATCCCTGTCTCGTCCTCGTGAGGCCAGAGTATATCATCAAAGGTTCCGGCACTAGCAGCTCTTCTACTGTGTCCAGTGAACTGGACTTGATGTTTGAGCGCATCAAGGGAAGCCCTACCCTAGTGGTCGCTGAAGCCAGGCATCCGAATGACGTCGACGAAAGGCTGCGGACAGAAGGCAGATTTGCGGCCGAGATTGAGTTGCCGATCCCCTCAGCGCTTCAGAGGAAAGAGATCCTGCTGGCCCTGCGTGGCGAGGACAGTATCCCGGGGGACGAGCTTTTGCAGGAAATTTCGGAGAGGACTCACGGATACGTGGGCGTCGATCTGAGGGCTCTTCTTCGGGTGGCGATCCACCTAGCATCGAAGCACCTACCGGCTGCCGAGACAGCAGAAGGCGATGGAGGATCTCCCATGGTCATAGAGTCCGCAGATCTCGAGACTGCCCTACAACAGGTCCGACCGTCTGCCCTGCAGGAAATTTTCCTCGAGACGCCCAACGTGCGATGGTCCGATATCGGCGGCCAGCACGAAGTCAAGCGACAACTGCACAACGCCGTGGAGCGCCCATTGCGGTTTGCCGACCGCATGAAGAAGTTGCGCCTACAGCCCAAGAAGGGGGTCCTGCTGTACGGCCCGCCGGGCTGCTCCAAGACTCTGCTCGTGCGGGCGCTGGCGACGGAAGCCGGGCTGAATTTCCTGGCCGTCAAGGGCGCCGAGCTGATTTCCATGTACGTGGGCGAGAGCGAGCGGGCCACGCGCGAGGTTTTCCGCAAAGCGCGCGCGGCCAGCCCGAGCATCATCTTTTTTGACGAGATCGACGCCATCGCCTCGCGCGGGAGGAGCGGCGGTGGCAGTGACCTGAACGTGCTGACCACGCTGCTCAACGAGATGGACGGCTTCGAGGAGCTGCGCAACGTGTTTGTCGTCGCCGCGACCAACAAGCCACAAAACATCGACCCGGCCCTGATGCGTCCAGGCAGATTTGACAACGTGGTGTACATTGGTCCGCCGGACGTGGAAGCGAGAAAGGAGATCTTCCACAAGCGCCTCGAAGGCGTGTATGACAGTCCCGACAGCCTCGGAGATGACGTCCGAGAATTCGCCAATGCCACAGAAGGGTTTTCGGGCGCTGAGATCGTGGCTATTTGCCAGACAGCCGGGGAAAACGCCTTTGACGCGGACCGCGACATCATCGTGTCCGACGACGTTCGCAAGGCGATCGGGCAGACGCCCAAGAGCATCACGAGGGAGATGTTGCTAGAGTTTGAGATGTGGAATGCCGCGCGGATGCGATAGCATGCCACCTGAGTAGATAGGTAGTGGGCGGGTGAGTCGATTAGCGGGTGGACGGCGTATATGTAGAAGTACGCAAAGCCATAGATAGACAGCCTGCGCCCCTGCACAGAATCGATGATGCCTTCTATCCTTTTCACCTTCTTTTCCAGCGACAAGCAAGCAAAAGAAAAAGGGAGTCGTGGTGTATCAAGCGTTCACATTTGGCCGCCCCTTCGTCTCGACAGCCAAATCCCTCATGGTCTTCCACACAAAATGCCTCTGGTCCGGGTTGACGAGGTCGTTGTCGTTGCCGAGCCCACCTTCTTCCGTGGTTCTGTAGTCTGCGCGCCCGTCGCCCATGATGAAGCGCAGACACACGATGGGCCCGCGGTCCTCGTACTGGCGGTTCAGGACGCGGTTGCGGAACGCCTCCAACTCGACGCTCTTGAGCTCGATCTCTTTCTTCTCGCCCATACCAACGCCCGGGCTCGCACCGGCACCCGCACCCGCACCTGCGGCGGTCATGAGCCGAGCGATGTCGCGAAAACTTGCGTTTGTGCCTGCGATGCGCAGCTGCGACGGCACGGGGACACCACGCATGGTGCGCTCGGCGAGGAGACACAGGACGCGGGCGATGTCGCCGATGTCCGTGAAACTGACGTGTTGGTCGAGGGAGCCTACGGCCCGATAAACGTCCTTGGCCGTGTGGAAGCCGTACCAGGGCCCGACGCCGCTGTGGAGGAACAGGCCGTTGAAGATCCTGCAGACCTTGATGTTCGTGGGTGCCAAAACCTGCCGGGTCAGCGCGTAGTGCGCTTTCTTGCCGTCCCACTCCGGCACGCTGAAGTCGTGCAGTGTGTGGTCCACCCCGAACTCGGACGGGAAGTACAACTTCACCCGCGTCTGGGGCAGCGCTCGGGCGATCTTGTCGCGCAGTCGCGCGCCTGATGATGATATGCTATGAGGGGGAAAGGACGGGGGGATTTCAGCCATAGTGTCCTTTCATAGGGATGTGGGTTGAATGTAACCGTGCAGATGAGCCATACACCTCAAAGGGAGAAATAGAGAGCAGGTGTGTATACACGTATGTGTGTGCATGTATGCATTGTTTCCAGATGCTGTACATAGAGACAAGGTATAGGGTCACTCACGCATTGATAAGGACATCAACCCCGTCCAACGCCATGATCAGATCGTTCTCATCACACCCCGCTACCCCGTTCGCCTCGTCGTCGTCGATAATGCGCACCTCGGCACCGAGAGAGTCCCTCCATCGTTCCATCCTGGCCGTGTAGCGACGAGCGAGCAGCACGAACCCCGACAGCCGGTCGCGCAGCTCGGCGGAGAGAAACGTCTCGGTCAGCCGCGTGCCCAGGTCGCCCGTGCCGCCGGCCACGGCGACGACTGGTTTGTCCGGAGACGGCGAGAACGGGGTTTCCCCGGCCATGGAGACTTTTCCTTTTTCGGGCTTCCTGGATCAGGGAGGGATTTTTTGGATGGTTGTTTCTGAAAGAATCGACCATGTCCCTGTGGTTTTGTAGGAATTTGAAATTTCGGCTTACCCTCGCGCACCACGGGTTACGGCGAGGCTGTGGGTGGGGCACGAGGCTGGTAGCGCGGTAGTCGATGCTTTGGAGTACCCGGAGAGGCTGAGGGGGAGAGCGGTACCCCCAATAAAGCCTGACGCCCTCACAGAGGCAAAAGAACAAGTGAGTCGCCTCCTGCTGCGGTATGGAATGTCTAGACATCTATGATTGGTTCAAGGAGGGGGAGCAACTCCCCAAGACGAAGGCGTTGGTGAGCTACGGACCACAGCAATGCGCTGTCGCCTACTATCCAGAAGCGCAGTACATGACGGCAAGGCAAGGCGATTGGAAAATTAGGGAAACCTATCCTGCACTCCGTTCAAAAGACTCACACATCCCTCTTTTCGTCTTTCCTTCCTTTGCAGCCATACGCAATCACAGTCTGGCACTCGGCCTCAAATACCCCCCAACACGGTTCAGCACCTTGATAGCGCCATCCATCATCTCCTCCACAATCTCTGCTGCAGTCTGATTTGGCGTGTTGACGAGACCAGATACCTGGCCGGCAGGCCTATATTCAAGAAGAAAAAAATCACATGTTAGCAAACACCTCTTGCGGCGCGATACCGTGGTAGGAGGAGTAAGAGTAGACGTACATGCACACCGATTGATCCTCAATCTCCTCGGTAAGGCCTCCGGTCTTCTCCAGCTTTTCCAACTCGTGGTTCAGGACAAGGATGCCTTTACTTTGCAGCTCCTCGATCTCGTCCCGTCGCTTCGTCTCCCAGTTCCGGACATAAGGGCTGGCAATGGCGCGGAGGGGACGGCCGGTCCAGATTGTCGACTTGATGGTGTCGTCAAAGCCCGCAGCGAGGATGGCTCTCTTGGCGGCCTCGGCGGCGCCGGATTCTTTGGCCGTGACGAATCGTGTGCCGACCCAGACGGCCGAGGCGCCCAGCGACAAGGCTGCCGCAATGCCGCGACCGTCGAAGATGCCGCCGGCGGCGACGAGTTCGACGGGCTTGCCTGTCAGTGGGGAGGTATAGTTCTTGACAATATCGGCGCAAGCGGGAATCAAGATACTTCATAGGCAAGTGTCAGCGATTTCGTTCCATTGACGCGGCTTACGACGAGATGTCCACGATGCACCAGCATTTCCCCGTCGTACGAAGTAGACCAGTCTCACTCACGTCGTGGCCGTTTCACCTGTGTGGCCTCCAGCTTCTCCTCCCTGGGCGCAGATGATGTCGGCACCAGCCTGGCACGCCTTGTGGACATGCTTCGGGTGTCCAACCATGTTCATATAAAGCACGCCGTGTTTGTGCAGCTTGTCAACGACGTGTTTGGGGGCGACTCCCACGGCCGAGACGAAGAGTTTGGCGCCACCGGCGATGATGATGTCGATGAGTTCGTCGAGGGCACCTTTTGTGTAGTCCGACTGCAGATTGTAACATTAGAAAGAGGGCGATTAGTGGAACGACGGACCAGAAGCGGGGGAGAGATTTCGATCGGAGGGAGCAGGAATGGGAGAGGACATTACTCACGTTGGTCTTTCGCGCATTGCCGCCGACTTGTGGGAGCAAGAGATCGACGCCAAAGGGGGCTGAAGGGTCCTTGAGAGCAGCCTGTTCGAGCGAGAGTTGACAAATTCAGCCTCTGTAATACAATCCGATTCCTTTTTTTCCCCTTATTTCCCCAGCTTTTTTTCGGGTTGCGGTGCCCATCCGCCTCGGCCAAAATAACTGCGAACAAATCATCCACTCACTTTCAACTCCTCTATCATCTCCTTGAGCATCTTGGGCGTGTATCCGACTCCACCGATCACACCGAGGCCGCCTCTCATGGAATTTAGCATACATCTCGGAATAACGAGAACTAAGTATGGTGATAGGGAGACTGTTGCTATCAAGACAACATACCGGCATTGGTCACCGCGGCCGCAAGAGGAGCGCCCGACGTCGAACCCATACCAGCCAGGAGGATGGGGTGCTTGATACCCAGCAGCTGGGTGAGGGGGGTTGTTATCGACATGGCGGTCGTTAATGCGATGCTGATATGGGGCGCAGACGCAAACAAAAAGTCCCGTCTAAAACTCGCAGGTTGGATGTGTAGATTGTCAAGATCAACCAGGAAAAGGATGAAAAAGAAACACAAAAACCGTGTAATAATGTCCTTTAAGTCCTTCGACACCACGTTTCCGAGGCACAGTGTCAGCAATTAGCCAGTGGACTACCCACTTTACTTGACCTTGGATAAGCGAAACGGTCAGTACCTCCAAGTAATAAGTAAGCTTGTGGTGTCAGTTGGAAAGCCTTAACCTCACAGAACAAGTTGGAACTCGGTACCGGTTGTCCAATGCTATTTTGTTGAACCTGGGATATGTCTGTGTTGCTTGTGGACGACTCGGCCAGACGAGCTCTGAGCCGAGTTAGACGATGCGGGATACCGAGGTCTCGACGCGTCGCTCCTCCAGCGTTTCCCCGCGGTTTTTGAAGAGGAGGGGGCGGATGGGACCACTCTCTTTTTCCTCGTATCTATATCCTGCCTTGTGCCATGCTCTATGCTGTTGAAATTCATTCAGTTGTGATTGTAAACAAATCACCTGATCGCCCTCTGCCCCCGGTGGGATGAGGGGGTTGACGAGGCCGAACTACAGCCTTGCGCTATTCCCTCCCCTCGCTAAACTGCGCTGGCACACTGGTTAGTGGCACTGGTGGCCACTAGGCTGGGATCTCACCTAATAATATTTGCGTCTCGTATTGCTCATAGTTAGCCCGCCCACTCACCTCCCTCCACCCATAAACGCCAGAAGATTCCCTTTTCTAGCATAAACATGCACCTGACCGACCCCATCCACCTCTCCTTGGAAGATGCAGATAACGTTGTCCCGGATATCGCACGCATCAAACATTCGTCCTTGACCGCCACTCCGCTGGGACAGTTGAGATACGGCGACGTCCCCGCCGAGGAGGCTCGCGAATGGCTCGAGGCGTGCACCAGGGTCGAGCTCCTCAGCGAGCTGAAATATCCCCGTATCGTCGGTCTCGAGTGCGACGGGTTGGGTCGGCATGTACCGCGCATGGAGCACCTGGTCATTCGCGATCTGGATCTGGACCTGGACCTGCCGCAGCCAACGGCACAGGGTGACGTAGTGTCTGACGCTGGAGGTGTCGTCGTCGCGTTTGCCGAGTTCCAATATCACCCATTGCCAGGACAAGAACAGGAACACAGAATAAAACCATCTGTCTCAAAAAGTACGACAGAGACCCAGAGCAGAGTCGAAATACCAAGCTTGACCTCCTCCTCATCGCAACCTCCGACGAATGTCGATACGGAGGTCGTCAAGCTCCCATCATCCGCCCACCGCGCCCTCCACAAACACTGGGACCAGACCGTCGAAGCCGCTCTCTCCGCCACGTTCGGAGGCATGCACTGCTTCGAGGTACGCGGCATCGGCACACTCTCCCCAACACACCTGCGCAAGGGCATCGCGAGCAGATTGTTGGCGTGGATCTTTCCCTGGGCGGACAGATTGGACGTCCCTGTCGTCCTGGCCGCGACTCCCGCGGGGTATCCATTCTACATTCGACATGGGTTTGTAGAGGTCGGTGACCACCACCGCGGTGAGGGCGACGACGAGGCAAGTACAAAAGGCACGAGAGGTACGCGGCCGTTCATCGAGTGCGACATGGCCGAGTGGGGAGGGATTGGAATCCATCGCCATGTCCTGATGATACGGTGGCCCAAGCACGCGGCAGGAGTGGATGGAACGTAAACGCTTTCCAGCTGACAACTGACTCTGTTATCCATCCATCCGACGGATCATGAAATACCGCACTGGCAACATCATGGTCGTTGCCTCAATGACTTTTTCGTCCCCAGAATATGGCCGAAAGCATGCATGGCAACGAATGGAAGATCTTTCCTCTGACCACCGATTGATGCCCACGAGGTAAGTGCGTGATGAATTAATAGATTGCAACAAGCTATAGATCAGCATGCGATATAGGTGCAACGGCTACACACCCTCAAGAACTTATCATCCAGATTTGTTTGACACGATAAATGCTGAATGATTTTTACCAACACTTTTATCATTCTTTGCTAGAACAGCAAATGTCATTAAGATCATGTACATCCCACCACATTGATAACAAACAAAATCCAGTCAGATGCCTCATGCCCAAAACCCAGGAAAAGGTAGTGTTACAAATTCCACCCCAAGACTCATATCTTGCTGCCCTCTCCGCGACAACAACAACATATATCAACTAATCCCCTATTTCTTCTTCTTTCCACTTCCCAGGCCCATAGCTTCCGCTAAGCTGCCCAAACCCAATCCACCCAGCAGCTTGTCAACACCGAGACCTCCCAATAGACCACTCACCAAACCACCAAGACCCAGACCGTTGAGCAATTTGCCCACCAACCCGAGCACGCCGCTCAGCAGCAGACCGACAGCAGCGATGATCTGGAACAGAGGTTCTGTCAACAGCGCCCACAGTGGATTCAACTTCTTCTTCGCATGAGGCATATCGGCAATCTTCTTCTTGGCGTTGTCGATGGTCTTGACCACTTGAGTGGTAAGTTCCTTCAATCCCTCTGCCACACGATATTCTTCTGGCGAAGCCTCACCACTGGCTGCCTTCGCTTTGGCGTTGGCTGCGATGTGACCGTCGGGGTCAAGTCCGCGGATGGCACCATTGCATTCACCTAGGATGCGAGAGCCCTCTTCGATAAGAGGCTTGACGTCTTGCACGAGTTTCTCCTCATCAAGCTCGTCTTTGGGTGTGCGATCAGCTCTTTCAACAAGCTGTGATGATAAATTAGTATGGCTATTGGCAAGCAGACAATGAATGCACTTACCTCAGTGATCTGTTTGCAAATAGGCTCCATCTTCTCCAACGTCTGATTGATGATATTGGAGATCTTCTTTGCAACCTCACGCTCCTCTTCCTCTTTGAGTTGCTCGGGTGTTGGACCCTCCTCGACTTCTTCTTCATCTGGAATGTTTTCAAGCAGGGTGCATTCTCCGATCTTGTTGCCGTCTTGATCCACGACATAACCATTGTCATTGACCTCCTTGCCAATACAGGCGAGCAAGTTGCCCTCTGTCAATCGGCCAATAACATCTCCATTGCGGTCGCGGACTTCACCCTCCTTATTCACGCGGAGGCCAGACATAGGTGAAACCTCTCGTTCCTTCTTTTCTGGTTCCCAGCGTTCAGCATGACCAATGACATTACCATTCTTGTCGACAATATCTCCGTCGTCATCAACCTTGCGGCCGACCAACTTTTTGATGTCACCTTCGGTAACACGACCGATGATCTCTCCGCTGGCGTCCTTGACCAAACCATCTTTGTCAATGGTTGTAGAGTCGAAGTTGGAGAATGGCCCTTCGGCACGACCATCATCACCACCTGCGATGAGTCTTGCACGACCGATAACTCTGCCATCGTTGGACCAGATTTGTCCTTTGCCATCCACCTTACAACCGACAAGACGCTGAACTTCACCCTCGGCGACTTCGCCAAAAATGGTTCCATGCTCGTCAACGACCTTGCCTTGTTTGTTGACAGTCTTACCAGCGAGGCTGGATAGATCTTCCTCGACAACCTCTTCCTCGGGGACTTCGTATGGTTCGACATGGCCTTTGACATTGCCGTACTTGTCGATAATGTCGCCATCTTCATCCACCCCGCGGCCAAGGAGTTTCTTCCAATCTCCCTCTACCACCTGTCCGACAACATTACCTTCGTGATCCTCAACGAAGCCATCCTTGACAACGATGAGACCCTCGAGGCCAGCAAACGGACCTTCAGGCTTAGCTTCACGCTCGTTGAATGGAATGAGTTCGCAGCGGCCAACAACATGACCTTGATCGTTCCAGATCTGGCCGTTTTCATCGATCTTGCGGCCTGCAAGCTCCTTGGGATTGCCTTCGACCAGACGACCAATTGGAACGCCATCAGGTCCGATGACATTGCCTTGTTTGTTACATGTCAAACCCTTCAGTTCTGAAAGGTCGATCTTCTGCTCCTCTGGTTCTGGCTCTGGTTCGGGTTCTTCGTATCTCTCAGCGTGGCCAACAACATTGCCTCGTTTGTCAATAATGTCACCGTCTTCATCGACTGCACGACCGACAAGTTTCTTTGGGTCTCCTTCAACGATACGGCCAACTCTGTTGCCGTTCTCATCTTCAACCCATCCGTCAGCCACAACGGTTAGACCTTCAAGACCAGCGAACTCGGCTTCTTCTTCCTTATCCTCTTGAGGGAGCGTCTTTGCGCGACCAATTATATGGCCTTTGTTGTCCCAGAATTGTCCCTGGTCGTCGCAGGTTGTACCAGCCTTCCAAATCTTCTTGGCATCTCCTTCGACCAGTTCGCCGACAACGTTACCGTTGTTGTCGACAATCTTGCCGGACTTGTTAACTTTGAGACCCTCCAGGATGGATAGAGGCGGCAAGCCATCGTCAATCTCTTCGGCAGCCTCTTCGACTTCCTCCTCAACTTCTTGGGGAATCATTTCGACTTTGCCAATGACATTACCGTCCTTGTCCAAAACCTCGCCCTTGTCGTTCAATTTCTTCCCTGCAACGGCAGCAAGATCACCTTCGACGAGTTTCGCGATCTCGTCACCGTCCTCATTCAATACTAGACCTTTCTTGTTGACTTTAAGACCTTCAAGGATTGAAGTCTCGGGGACTTCGGGAGCAGCTTCTTCAATGGTTTCGACAATACCTTCTTCGACAGCTTCGGGAATGAACTCGACTCGACCAATAACATTGCCATCCTTGTCCAGAATTTCTCCATTCTCATTAATTTTCTTGCCACGGACAGCATCAAGGTCGAAACCTTCAGCCAACTGGGCGATGGGATCACCATCCTCGTTGACTACTTGACCTTTCTTGTTGACCTTCAAACCCTCGAGTTGTGCGAAATCTGGCTTGATGATCTTTTCAGCTGCGTCTTTAGCCTCGTCCACCGCCTCTTCGGCGGTGTCTGCGGCACCCTCAGCAGCATCAGCAGCTTTACCGGCAACGTCAGCCTGATCGCCAGCCTCCTCAGCTTGCTTTTCAGCTTCTTCCGCAGCCTGCTGTGCTTCTTCAAGTTGTTCAACCAGTTCGGGGTGGAGTTCTTTCATAGCTTCTTCCGCAGCCTCTCCCTGGACGACCTCAACACGCCCAATAACTTTGCCGTCTTTGTCGAGAATTTCACCATTCTCATTGGGAAGTTTACCGGCGCAAGCCTTAACGTCGCCTTCCACAAGTTTCGCCAGGACTTCTCCTTCGTCATCGAGGATAGTACCCTTCTTGTTGAGTTTGCGACCTTCGACAATTGTGAGATTCGGCTTCAGTTGGTCCTGCAACCCTTCAACCTTATCGAATGCCTCTTGGACAAACTCTGGTTTGGCTCCCTCCTGGACACCATCAACCTTTTCTTGCACTGCTTCGGCGGCTTCGGGTACGATTTCTGCGCGGCCAATGACGTCGCCGTCTTCGTCCAAAACCTCACCTTCAGCATTGAGTGTTCTCCCGACTAAATCAGCCGGATCACCTTCGGTAATCTTGCCCAAAGTGTTGCCGGCTTGGTCCTTAATTGCTCCGTCTTCTTGGACCTCCAAACCTTCCAGCGCTTCAACACCGGGAAGTTCTCCGGCAGCTTCTTCGACAGCTTGTTTAACAGGCTGAGGGAGGGTCTCTGCACGACCCACAGCATCGCCATCTTCATCCAGGATTTCGCCGTCGGCATTTACTGTCATGCCGACTAGGTCTGCGGGGTCACCTTCAGTGATTCTGCCCAAGACGTTACCATCCTTGTCCAGAATGTCTCCGTTCTCTTGAACTTCCAAGCCGTCGAGGACGTTTAGGTCAGGAAGATATGTCTCGACAGCGTCCTCTGCTGTATCTTTGACGCCGTTAACAGCCTCTTCGGCCTGGTCCTGAGTACCCTCTGCAGTTTCGTGGACGCCATTGACCGCACCATCAACATCGGCGTCTTCGGTCGCCTTGCCAGCAAGTTCTTGAGCCTTTTCTGGGATGACGCTTGCACGACCGACAACGTCACCATCTTCGTCGAGGATTTCGCCGTCATCGCCAATCTCGTAACCCTCAAGATCGGCGGGGTCACCTTCGTCGAGTTTGCCGACAACGTTGCCAGCCTTATCTTTAATATCTCCGGTCTCGGTGACCTTGAGACCCTTCAGGATGGACAGGTCAACAGGCAGCCCTTCGGTTGCACCATCGGCCGCTTCTTCCGCAGTCTCCTCGACATCATCAGCCACCTTCTCTGCGTGACCTTTGACGCCATTCGCGGTCTCTTTGACATCGGGCACGTCCCCAGTGTCTTTGGGTACGGCATCAGCTGCTTCTTCAGCTGTCTCCTTTGCGCCCTCCGCCGTATCTTCCGCCGTGTCTTGGACGTCTTGGGCAGTATCTTCTGCCGTGTCCTTGGCATCGCCGACTGTGTCGTCTGCGGCGCCTTGCACATCACCCTGGGAAGCCTTGCCTGCTGCGCCAGTAGCCGAGTCTTTGGCACCGCCAACGCGACCAGCGACTTTCTTGCCGGTACCAACGACACCACTGGTGGCCTTGCCGAGTCCGCTAAGTGCACCGTTTCCTTTGCCTTCGGCCTCGTCCTCGGCTTCTTCGGCAGCATCGCCCTCTTCTGCCACTTCCTCTTCCTCTTCGTCTCCCTCGGTGCCCTCGTCTTTAGCAGCATCTCTGCCACCACGGACCGTGTCACCTTCTTCTTCCCCTTCTTCCTCGTC